CGCTACCGTGCGCACTGCTGAGGAGTCCCATACTAAGGCGAAACGGCCGTCCAGTGCTTCCAGGTTTTCAATGGTGGTCTAGCTTCAACTGACTCATGATTTCAATCTGTGAAGAAATATTATTATTATTATTTTAATTTTGAGATAAGTTCTAATTTGAATAATTTGGATATCATAGCAACTAGTTATGTAATCTGGTATCTATCTATTCAACATTAAATCTTAGTTGTCTATTTTGTACTTTGATTTACATACCTAAATAGTGATTCATATATAAATTATAATTATAATTATAATTATTATTATTACTAATATCAGTTCAAGTCACCCGCCAAATGTCTTTTTTTCACTGATTTAAAAAGTAATCTTTATTGATTCATAAAATCACTTCAAGCAATCCACGAAGTTGCGCTACCGTGCGCACTGCTGAGGAGTCCCATACTAGGACGAAACGGCCGTCCAGTGCTTCCAGGTTTTCAATGGTGGTCTAGCTTCAACTGACTCATGATTTCAATCTGTGAAGAAATATTATTATTATTATTTTAATTTTGAGATAAGTTCTAATTTGAATAATTTGGATATCATAGCAACTAGTTATGTAATCTGGTATCTATCTATTCAACATTAAATCTTAGTTGTCTATTTTGTACTTTGATTTACATACCTAAATAGTGATTCATATATAAATTATAATTATAATTATAATTATTATTATTACTAATATCAGTTCAAGTCACCCGCCAAATGTCTTTTTTTCACTGATTTAAAAAGTAATCTTTATTGATTCATAAAATCACTTCAACCAATCCACGAAGTTGCGCTACCGTGCGCACTGCTGAGGAGTCCCATACTAGGACGAAACGGCCGTCCAGTGCTTCCAGGTTTTCAATGGTGGTCTAGCTTCAACTGACTCATGATTTCAATCTGTGAAGAAATATTATTATTATTATTTTAATTTTGAGATAAGTTCTAATTTGAATAATTTGGATATCATAGCAACTAGTTATGTAATCTGGTATCTATCTATTCAACATTAAATCTTAGTTGTCTATTTTGTACTTTGACTTACATACCTAAATAGTGATTCATATATAAATTATAATTATAATTATAATTATTATTATTACTCATATCATTTCAAGTCACCCGCCAAATGTCTTTTTTTCACTGATTTAAAAAGTAATCTTTATTGATTCATAAAATCACTTCAACCAATCCACGAAGTTGCGCTACCGTGCGCACTGCTGAGGAGTCCCATACTTAGGCGAAACGGCCGTCCAGTGCTTCCAGGTTTTCAATGGTGGTCTAGCTTCAACTGACTCATGATTTCAATCTGTGAAGAAATATTATTATTATTATTATTTTAATTTTGAGATAAGTTCTAATTTGAATAATTTGGATATCATAGCAACTAGTTATGTAATCTGGTATCTATCTATTCAACATTAAATCTTAGTTGTCTATTTTGTACTTTGATTTACATACCTAAATAGTGATTCATATATAAATTATAATTATAATTATAATTATTATTATTACTAATATCATTTCAAGTCACCCGCCAAATGTCTTTTTTCACTGATTTAAAAAGTAATCTTTATTGATTCATAAAATCACTTCAACCAATCCACGAAGTTGCGCTACCGTGCGCACTGCTGAGGAGTCCCATACTAAGGCGAAACGGCCGTCCAGTGCTTCCAGGTTTTCAATGGTGGTCTAGCTTCAACTGACTCATGATTTCAATCTGTGAAGAAATATTATTATTATTATTTTAATTTTGAGATAAGTTCTAATTTGAATAATTTGGATATCATAGCAACTAGTTATGTAATCTGGTATCTATCTATTCAACATTAAATCTTAGTTGTCTATTTTGTACTTTGATTTACATACCTAAATAGTGATTCATATATAAATTATAATTATAATTATAATTATTATTATTACTAATATCATTTCAAGTCACCCGCCAAATGTCTTTTTTTCACTGATTTAAAAAGTAATCTTTATTGATTCATAAAATCACTTCAAGCAATCCACGAAGTTGCGCTACCGTGCGCACTGCTGAGGAGTCCCATACTAGGGCGAAACGGCCGTCCAGTGCTTCCAGGTTTTCAATGGTGGTCTAGCTTCAACTGACTCATGATTTCAATCTGTGAAGAAATATTATTATTATTATTTTAATTTTGAGATAAGTTCTAATTTGAATAATTTGGATATCATAGCAACTAGTTATGTAATCTGGTATCTATCTATTCAACATTAAATCTTAGTTGTCTATTTTGTACTTTGACTTACATACCTAAATAGTGATTCATATATAAATTATAATTATAATTATAATTATTATTATTACTAATATCATTTCAAGTCACCCGCCAAATGTCTTTTTTTCACTGATTTAAAAAGTAATCTTTATTGATTCATAAAATCACTTCAAGCAATCCACGAAGTTGCGCTACCGTGCGCACTGCTGAGGAGTCCCATACTAAGACGAAACGGCCGTCCAGTGCTTCCAGGTTTTCAATGGTGGTCTAGCTTCAACTGACTCATGATTTCAATCTGTGAAGAAATATTATTATTATTATTTTAATTTTGAGATAAGTTCTAATTTGAATAATTTGGATATCATAGCAACTAGTTATGTAATCTGGTATCTATTCAACATTAAATCTTAGTTGTCTATTTTGTACTTTGATTTACATACCTAAATAGTGATTCATATATAAATTATAATTATAATTATAATTATTATTATTACTAATATCATTTCAAGTCACCCGCCAAATGTCTTTTTTTCACTGATTTAAAAAGTAATCTTTATTGATTCATAAAATCACTTCAAGCAATCCACGAAGTTGCGCTACCGTGCGCACTGCTGAGGAGTCCCATACTAGGACGAAACGGCCGTCCAGTGCTTCCAGGTTTTCAATGGTGGTCTAGCTTCAACTGACTCATGATTTCAATCTGTGAAGAAATATTATTATTATTATTTTAATTTTGAGATAAGTTCTAATTTGAATAATTTGGATATCATAGCAACTAGTTATGTAATCTGGTATCTATCTATTCAACATTAAATCTTAGTTGTCTATTTTGTACTTTGATTTACATACCTAAATAGTGATTCATATATAACTTATAATTATAATTATAATTATTATTATTACTAATATCATTTCAAGTCACCCGCCAAATGTCTTTTTTTCACTGATTTAAAAAGTAATCTTTATTGATTCATAAAATCACTTCAAGCAATCCACGAAGTTGCGCTACCGTGCGCACTGCTGAGGAGTCCCATACTAGGACGAAACGGCCGTCCAGTGCTTCCAGGTTTTCAATGGTGGTCTAGCTTCAACTGACTCATGATTTCAATCTGTGAAGAAATATTATTATTATTATTTTAATTTTGAGATAAGTTCTCATTTGAATAATTTGGATATCATAGCAACTAGTTATGTAATCTGGTATCTATCTATTCAACATTAAATCTTAGTTGTCTATTTTGTACTTTGATTTACATACCTAAATAGTGATTCATATATAAATTATAATTATAATTATAATTATTATTATTACTAATATCATTTCAAGTCACCCGTCAAATGTCTTTTTTTCACTGATTTAAAAAGTAATCTTTATTGATTCATAAAATCACTTCAAGCAATCCACGAAGTTGCGCTACCGTGCGCACTGCTGAGGAGTCCCATACTAGGACGAAACGGCCGTCCAGTGCTTCCAGGTTTTCAATGGTGGTCTAGCTTCAACTGACTCATGATTTCAATCTGTGAAGAAATATTATTATTATTATTTTAATTTTGAGATAAGTTCTAATTTGAATAATTTGGATATCATAGCAACTAGTTATGTAATCTGGTATCTATTCAACATTAAATCTTAGTTGTCTATTTTGTACTTTGATTTACATACCTAAATAGTGATTCATATATAAATTATAATTATAATTATAATTATTATTATTACTAATATCATTTCAAGTCACCCGCCAAATGTCTTTTTTTCACTGATTTAAAAAGTAATCTTTATTGATTCATAAAATCACTTCAACCAATCCACGAAGTTGCGCTACCGTGCGCACTGCTGAGGAGTCCCATACTAGGACGAAACGGCCGTCCAGTGCTTCCAGGTTTTCAATGGTGGTCTAGCTTCAACTGACTCATGATTTCAATCTGTGAAGAAATATTATTATTATTATTTTAATTTTGAGATAAGTTCTAATTTGAATAATTTGGATATCATAGCAACTAGTTATGTAATCTGGTATCTATTCAACATTAAATCTTAGTTGTCTATTTTGTACTTTGATTTACATACCTAAATAGTGATTCATATATAACTTATAATTATAATTATAATTATTATTATTACTAATATCAGTTCAAGTCACCCGCCAAATGTCTTTTTTTCACTGATTTAAAAAGTAATCTTTATTGATTCATAAAATCACTTCAAACAATCCACGAAGTTGCGCTACCGTGCGCACTGCTGAGGAGTCCCATACTAGGACGAAACGGCCGTCCAGTGCTTGCAGGTTATCTAATCAAGACAGGTTTTGTTACTTATATTTTAACCTATCAAATCGAAGTAATTCACCATTAGTAAACAGTTCACAAACCCTTACAAGTAACAAAATGCTTGTTTGTGAAAATGTGAGTACACATTTTGACCTACATATAAACCTCTCGGTTTAAACTATTGCTAATCATATCCAATATAATTTTGATCAATAGAGGCCTTGGAATTTCAACCAATGGTGATTAATTGTCAGACTTTAGAGTACAACAGCTAGAAATATATTGCATTCCGATGAGTTCGTCTTCCACCATGAGTGGTTAACAATGATCATATGATTTTATGAAACGTGATGTTTCTAATGGTCACTTTGGATCGTCGAATAAGAAAGAAACAAACAAACACTTAAAAAATGTATATAAACACGACAAGGTCTAACAACAATTATTACCGTTGTGAACAAGAAGATGAGGTGAGTGTTGACCGTACATTTAAAGCAAACGAGTGTGTTATATGAACTTCAATTTGTTTCAATGAAATAAGGCTGTATACTTTTATCTGTACCATTCCAGGCATAGCTTTGCAACTGGCCAGTTTATACTGCTCTATTTGATCATCGTATTAATTTATAAATTCTTCGACTGCCATGAAATTTGCACAAACCCTAAATTAGGGAAATACGAAAAAGTAATTTTAACAAACGATGCATATACTTATGTAAGTAATCAGACAGGTTCTAATACACATATTCAGTCTCATCACTATGATTATTCCGAGACAATTCTCTCTAATCAGCCTCCTCCAATTGTTCGCGGCAAGTTTGTAAGATTGGATGATACTAAAGTAAGTTGACTAAATTTAGCAATCGAGGTACTAATCCATATGTTTGCATATAATCAGGATATTGATGCAACATTCCCGTTTACGTTTTACGGTTCTCAAGTCACCAACTTCAGAATATACACTACTGGTAAGAGAATGATTTTCATTGAATTAAAATTGTTACCGAGTTTTGTTTATTCACATTTCATTTCGTGTACCGATGTTGTTTTAACTTCTTTAGTTAATCAGTTTTATGCCCTTTCTAACATTCAAAACGTCTACTGATAACTTATTTCGTTCAATTTGTGAACAGTTTAAAACTTTACAGAAATTTAATTACGGTCCATGAAACTCGTTTTGTCTCCAGTTAATCTAAAAGTCTTTAATTCATTATCTACATAATGTTATTTGAATTTCATGTTTTTCATTCAATGAACACAGGTAGAATTGAAGTGTTCGATCAAGAGTACTTAGGAGAAATTAAAGATTATGTGAGAAGCGGTTATAATACGGTATCTGAAGTTTTGAATGAGTGTGAGTACCTCTATTATACGGTGATAATTTGTTTTGCCTTTCATTTGTCACTTTTATTTTGCATAAATGATACAATTTTTGACCTGGTTACATTTTGGGAGCTGACCAGTACACAGTGATTAATTTGCTTGTGTGATTTGATGCTCTAAAACGTGTTCACAACACGTACTCATCACTGTCATGTGAAAACGATGGTTCACTTCGAAATAGACGCAAATTAATTGAGTAGAAATAATAAATCGAACGAATCCAACTGAACACATCTACAACAATAAACGATGTTGTGTGAAAAATCATTTTGCATTATTAAATCACATGGATTACCAAATTATATTTAATGATATCCAAATTTTTTTTCTTTAACTTACTTCATAAAGAATTAATGTCTCTTAGTCACTATCTGTGAACCACTGTGTATTGACCATATCATTAGTAATAATAATGACAGATGATAAAAAATTACTAGAAACAGTGCAGTGGTAAAGCATGATTAATTCGACCCGAAACAACTAGAACATCGAAATGAAGTTCACTCATTTTGTTCAGTTACTGCATAAAGTGACATTAAAGTGGAATTTCTGAGTAATAATTAGTTCATTTGAGGGAACACTGCTCGGTTGGAATAACTCAATTTCAGAAAATGATTTTGTATGTGTATTGTCGTTTAGATATTACCGGTCTATTAGATTGTCTGAAGCTTTTAAAATCAACACTTCGGAAGTAGAATATTCTTCTCAGTTGGTTGGATTGAAACATTCATCATATCGTTGAAATAATTATGAGTCTCCTTGCAACTCTCATTTAATTGAACCAGTTTACTTAAATCTTGAAAGAAAGATGATAACTTGTGTCCAAACTGATTCTCTGTGGATGTTAATTATACATATATAAAAACGCAAATATTTTTACTTTCATCATTTCAGTGGAATTATTAGCCGTCAGAACGTCTTATTATCTAGATGATGATGGTGATGAAAGTATGTATCCATAAAATGATTATTTGATTACACATGAAATATTTTAACACCTACACCATCATTCACAGTACTTGCTTACACATTTTCTGTTCATTTTACATCACTGAATTCTTTTCAAAAACTGTCAAAAGTAATAAAGTGTAACCATCACAAAAAATTAGGAAGGGGGAAACCATCGATTGTTTGAACACATTGATTGAGACCTGAAGGACAGTTGACATAATCAGTAGCATACTAGATTTGACGTGCAATAAAAAGATCCGTATGAATAAATTAAGTCATAAACACACTTTACTTGTGGATAAACGAATGTAGAGACACATCTTCGTCAACAGGCTTCAATGCTGCTTGATCAGAAGTCTGGATTCTGAAATAAGTAAATTTGTGTTACTCACCACACGGTCATTCCTAAAAAGTACTCATTCAAATTAAGAAATGACCAGGACGAAAAATCCGAAGCTATTCATTTTCCATCGTGATCGAACACTGAGAAACCAATAACTTGCATAACCGACTAACTTACCATGTTCTATTTGTAAACGAACAAACCATAGCTAATGTCATGTGTACTAAGGGTCGATTTTTTCAGGTGTTATTATAGAGAGTGTTGAGCAAATGTCAATAACTCCTCAACTATCAGATTTAATTGGAAGCTTGATGATTTATTATTTCGATATGAAAACGGGGTTGTAATACAGCCTCGGAGCCTAGTTATCTGATATTTATATTGTAGGATGCATGCTTGCTTCATTTACACGACGTTCACTAGATTATATTTATTACGAATTCTACCAAAGAAAACATTTGAGATAACGGAGAATATACCTGCATGAAACTGATCACTTTGCACGTAGGCACATACACTTTCGCATCTAACAATGACATGCTAATCCCTAATACCTTAAATTCTAAATAACGCTAGTCTTCTGCTTGTAGTTCCTGCATTCACTATAACTACTCTGATACATCCGAATGGGAAGATATCAATCTATTATAAGGACGTAAGTTGCACAATTGAATAGTAATGTAGTGTAGTTTGATGTATTTCAGATTGTTATCTTACTTTGCTCAAGTCAACACTGTTGGATGCATCAATATACATTGAATACGATAGAAAGATATCAACAATTTTTAACGTGCACACAGACTATACGACTCTATTAATAACTCCGTAATGACACACTTTATCCTAGCACTTTTTTCAAACAATGAATTATAGGAAGTCAAATGTTATCGATAGAAATTCTGACATATTTGAGCCGATTAATGATAAACAGTGTATTTTATAGTACTTTCCAACACAGACATTTCCAGTCAAGCTTTACTACGTCTTCTGACGTTCAGCTAATTGAAAATTTCATTGTCAAATAATCTGCGAGATAAATTGCTAAAATCTTGATCGTCTATCAGTGTGTACTTGTTCGAATGTCAGCATTTAGTACTTCACCAATTTGAAATACAACAGATGTGTGGTAACTAGAAAGGGCAGGTGAGATGAAAGATTTCATTTGTGTTGAACTGAATCCACTTTGATTGCTTCGAGGTAATCAGGAATTGTATGTACGGTGATGGATGGAAGTGAGTACATCAACAAAGTTCCTCGACATGACAACAAATACACGTGCAGCGGCATTGCAGTTATTCACTATCACATTTCCGTCAAGTGACGTATATATTCATCTCACAGTGTAGCGTATCATTGCACGATAGATACATCGTCCATTGGATTTCAGTGAAGTTGACAACTGAAGTGAGTCAGATTATCCTCGTAGACTAGATGAGACACACTCGTGAGGAAAGTGAGGAGATCAGTATGCTTACTATGTAATTAGTTGTCTTTGTGTAAAGTGATGTGAATGACGACACAGTCCTCCAGTGATTTATTGGCTTTAATAAATGTGGTTGTATGTTGACAAATCTTTACTCAGACTCCCGTTACTTCTTTTCAGATTCCTGAGGTAGTTGACAAAATCGAACAGACATCTGGAATTTATGGATGGTTTGATTGCGGAGAAGAAGGTAGCAAATGTTATTTACATTTTGATTAACACCGACCTACACAAGCAGTCATGTGTTAGTCTAATATTAACTTCTTTATGTACCCTTTGATCACCACGTCAATACAGAACTTTGCTGTATTCTGTCCTAGTGATCTAATATATCTTTCTTACAGTCTACAAAATCCAGTAGTTTCGTGTGAGAACAGATTGGTTGAAGTGTCATTAAAGTGTTGATGAAAAACGTGTGAAATAAAATCTGAATGCTTCTGGTAAACTCATTGTCCAAACACTACTGTTTATTGAAAATTCAACGTGGATGATGTGTTTTCACATCTTGAAGCGAAGTTTAATATCACATTTGATACTAAATCAAGGTTTAATCTAGTGCTGACAAAACCGCGTGTTTTGATCAAGTCTTTTGAACAGTGAACTACTGAATTCTTCTGAATTGAAATCGAGTTTTTGTGTCTTCATTTGAACAACCGACAGCCTTGATAGTGTCACATAAACGATTGTCGTTGTTTTGATGAAATTGTATTGGTGTTGTTTCTGTTTTATATTCTGATTTCTGTAAACAATGAATTTCACGATTCATGTCTGCTGACTTACGCCTAACCTGGTATACTGAAAATCCTCATCAAGGATATTCCGAGAACTTGTTCCCATTTTTTAACAGTCGCTCGTTAAACAAAATCTCAGTTATTTTCTTCTGTAAAATTTATTTCACAAGATGTGAAGGAAATTGAAACTGAAACATATGTTCTTGAAAAATGGATCAAAAGTGGAACGTTAGTGGTGTATGAAGCTCTCGGTGGTATGTTAAACCTTATTGTATCATAAATGATTATTTTCACAGTTGAATACATCAATTTTGTTTCTAAATATTGAAAATTTCATGTGCAATTTCAGTAAATAACTAACAGAAATTTGGCTACTAGTATCAAATCACACTAATCTATACGTGGATTCTCTGTTGATTATTTAAAATGATGAAGGATGGATGTCCTTCACGCCTTCACGTTTATAAAATTCACTTAAGCGTACATTATGTTACAAAACGATAGATGAGATAATATATGTCAGTTAGTTGATTGTGCATTCACTTGGAAGTGTCCATGATATTGAACTTTCCTGAGTTATTAAAATCGCGGAAACATTTCTTGAAATCGTAATTAACTTGGAAACAATCGATTACTTTCCAAAATCTATATTTCATCTTGTTCATCCGATAAATTGGACGTGTAGACAAGTCAGATCTTCAAATTTTGATATACCATAAGCAGTAGATAGTTGTACAGTATCAAAAATACTGAAGATTTTCATGTTAGGTAAGTGTTTCCTTTCACATTGATATGTATAGTGAGTAATCACAAACACTCTTCAGTTCGTCGTATGTTGGAGTAATGAAATAACATCACTATGACTGAGAAAATCATTCCATAATCTAATGTTCAGATTGACTACAATATTCGTTGAATAAAATACAATTCACTATCGATGAATGTTCATGATCCAACTAGTGTGACATGCTAGTCGACAGCACACAGAGTATAATGTGATCACATAGTTTGAAACATTCCATGACGAAAGTTTGACTGAAATCTCTTCCAGAAAAACGTCAGCGACGAATTGAAAAA